ATGTCCAGTAAGACCATCCAAACTAAAGCAAAAAAGATATGGGCTTAAAGCCGATACCTGATAACAGAAATAGAAAAATATTTGGTCAATCCTCCTTCAATTCAAACACAAGTAACAACTCTAGTCCTCCTTCAGTTCAAACACAAGTAACAACTCTAGTTACATATTTTTAGTGACTTGAATATAAGCCATATCAACACCTTTCTTCTCAAAAACTCTTCAAAGGATATCTTTTGGAACCTTATCGTAATATTTTTCTAAATCAAAAAAATTCAAATGCAGATTCTCCTTATTATCTCTGAACTTCTCCATCAAACTTCTCAATAAATGTATAGCTTCCACATTATCTCTGAACTTCTCCATAAAACATATGTTCAATTACCCTCTCCCATAATTTTAAAGCATGACACATCAACCTAATTCCTCTATAATTTGCACTCTTGTGCATCCCTTTTATTCTAAAAATTAGGGACCAAAATATTCTTCCTTTACTTCTCAGGCATCTTTTTTAGTTTTAAAATATTGTTAAAGAGTTTAGTAAGTCAAAGAACTCCCAAATCTCCTAAACATTTTCATACTTCAATTAGGATATCATTAGGTCCTACAGACTTTCTACCTTTGGTTTTCTTTAAAGCGTCTTCAACTTCTTTTTTACTAATGCGACGGTAAAAATGAAACATTTTATTATTATTAATGATATTAAGATCACTAAGGTTGATTGTATTTTTAGAAACTTTATTAAAAAAATTATCAAAATAACTCACCCACTTATGTTCAATATTTTTTTCTAAGAAAAACACTTTTTAATTTTCATCTTTAATACAAAGATGAAAATTAAAAAGTGTAGTTTATACATATATTTTTCACTCTCCTTAATATCTAATCTTTTATAAAGATCTATAAAAACAAAATTTTTAGTAAAGCAGAATTTTTAGCATCACATCTTGTTCTTTTAGACTCCCTGCGAGCCATTTGATATTTTTTTTAGTCCTCTAAGTTTTTACATCTAAATCAATTTTTATAATATAACTACTCATATTTTATCTTTTCTTGCACATTATTATTCCACCAACAACTATTTTTATTTAAAGAAACTCTTTCTTTTGATTCTCCAAGTACATCTTTTACTTTGTTTAATAGTGTGTTATGAAACTTTTTCTTTTGATTCTCCAAATACATCTTTTACTTTGTTTAATAGTGTGTTACTTTATTGCACATAGCATTTCAATCAGCTTTTCAATTGATGATTTTTTTTTCTTCGCCTAAAGCACCATATGAAACAGTGCATATCTGCCCGCTTTCCTGCAAAAATAATTCTGTCAAGCTAACTTGTATTGTACTGACATAATGGTGTTACTTATTTAGTTGAAAATGATGTTTTTCTTCAACTCATCAGGCTGTCTTTGGGGAAAATGAGCTGGCATATCAAATTGGCGAGATAACTGAAATACTTTCACAAGGCCTTCTATCTGCTACTCCCCACAGTGTACAGGTAACAATTTTTAATGGACACAAGTTAAACAATTATTCTTGGGAACTTTAAATTCAAGAAATCTCTCTACTGTATACAGCCAATTAATAAATTCATTCAAATCTTGTCGGCCTTCAAAATCCTGAATGTCGATCTTGATTCTAAAACCAGCGACCTTGCAATGTTGAGTGTGTCATTTTATTAGATAAGGCGATTGATACCGGCGGTATGTCAATTGGGAAAGAACAAAAAATTTAAACGGAAATTGTAAGAAATTTATTGGCAAAAAAACCACCTGAGAAATACCTCAGGATACAACAAAGGGGGAGGAATTAGTGCCGAACCACCTTTCAGGAAAATAGAAAACTCTAATCCAAAAACTGCCTGCCCAAAATAGCCTACGGTTGTCTTATATTTAAGCTGACCCTTCGTAATTACAAGTTTTCCATCCAAAGAGATAAAATTCCAGAATACACGAGACACGTAAGAAAAAGACTGAAACAACACGCCCACAAAGGACATTAGGAAAGCAACCACTTCAAGCTCCGGCATCAGTGATGCTTAGGAAAAGTGAAGCACATGTTTTTGGTCAGCTGAAAAGACTTGTTTCCTTTAGATAAAATATAGATGAGTAAGGATAATCCTATAAGTTAGCTTATGTCTACCCGGATGATTGCATGAATGCTAATTCTTGATAGACCATGTAAGAGTTGATGTTGTACTTCAGGTCATTAACCAAGTTAAATCACCTTGCTATCTTAATATTAAACTAAGCATGTTTTCGTGGCTTTTTAGCATTTTTACTTTTGCTTGGATTTTTTATTTTTTATTTGATTTATTTTAATAGGTTTTTTTATCCTTTTTGAATTATTATAAATTTTAATTTAAATCTTTTGATAGATGTAAATTTTAGTTTAGGTCGGATTGAATTTGAATTTATATTTTAAATTATGTAAGCTTAACTTTATGACCCTTTTTCTATGATTAGGGATCGATGACTTGTAATTGAGTTATTGATCGATGAATGAGAATTATTTTATGAGACTTTTTATGAGATTAATTGAGCATGCTCTCGGTACAAAATTTGTATGATGATCATTCCAACTTATATATGGGGAGTGCATCTCTCTTCTCCGTCCAAGTACATTGTCGAATTCATCAAACACAAGTTCATTGGAACTAATTCCTGATATTGGTTGCCATAAATGAAAGAACTAACAATCGCCAATTTCTTTTCATAAATTGCGAAGAAAATTCAAAACAATATAGTGGCATCAAATATGTGAGAAAACATGAGAATGTTGATCATTTAACTAAAAAAAAAAGCAAACTTGGCTTAAGCGGTTTCCTTTTAGTTTCACAGTTGGACCAATGATTTAAAATCCAAATTTCATTCCTTAAAGATTTATGCGTATGATTAGTATACTTCAGCATTTCCTTTTAAGTTTGACAGTTGAACCAATGATTTAATATCCATATTCATTTCCAAAGACAGCTTTATATATAATAAGAGTGAATGGTCAAAATAGCTCTAAATTTCTTACGTGTTCATTTTAAACGCAGATATTTTTAGGCGTCCATAGTTAGGGCTGTCAAAACGGTTCGTTGTTCACGAACAGCTCGTGTTCGGCTTGTCGCTAAGTTAACGAGCCGACTTTACTTGAGTTA